TGGGCACCATTTCCAGAAAATATGGTTATAATGCCTGGATTTTGTGTTGCAGGTACTGTTGGAGCCAAAGTTTTAAATGGGGATAAGGAAATACAAGTTGATGCATATAATAAAGTTCAAGTTAACTTGCAAGTCAAAAATTTGTCATTTAGCGCACATGCAGATGCTAAAGGGATTATGCAATTAATAAAGCAGTGCGCACCAAAAAATGTGATGCTGGTTCACGGAGAAAAAGCAAAAATGGAATTTTTACAGGATAAGATTCGGCGTGAATGTCGAGTACCATGTACTTGTCCAGCGAATGGAGAGACAGTTACGATCGAAACTCCCCTTTCTATACCAGTTGATATATCAGTTGATTTACTTAAACGACATTTAAATGCACAAAAACTTTCATTACCACTTCCTGGAGAAAGAATTGATTTAACAAAGATTACGCCTGTGGACGAAATACCTATTCAAGGAGTATTAGTAATGGAATCTGATCGAATTCCACGCTTAATAGAGGTTGAAGAAGCCATTCGTGAAGCACGATTACCTATTCTTGACATAGATTTTAAGACGTTCAAAACATTTGATCCGAAACAATTTCAAGACAAGAATGTGATGTCGAATATAGAAGAAAAGGATATACGAATCCAGGTATTAGAATATGTATATGAAGTTGTGAATAAGGCAATCAGTAAGAATATACCAGGTATTGAATTGCACAAGGGAGCATTGGAAATTAAGTTGAGAAGTGTCACAGTGAGTGTACCAGAAATGATTAAAGATGAATTTAAAAATGCATTGCGTATTACTTGGAATTCTAAAGACCAGAATTTAGCAGATTTTTTAATCTCTATTATGGATGATATTCTTCCTGATATGCCAGATTTATAACTTTCTACTAGTCAAATATACAATAATAATACGTAATTTTTTTTTTATATATATATTGTCAAATTATAATTATACTTGTATATAATTATTTTTGCAATTACGGAATTACATATTATGTTCTTAGTTATGTTTGTAATTATTTATAATTATGCTCATAATAATTATATTCGTAATTATACGTATTACGGAATAAAATATAAATATAGAAAATGTAACGACATAATGATAATTAACCTTGATATACGATTATAGGAGGCAAGAATTTCTATTCATAACGATAATCGGA